CTATAAAGTTTTCTGGTAATAATTCTTATAGCTCTTCTTTTGCAAAATAAGAATAGAAGAATTTGTAAATGTTTTACATTCCTTACTCCAAATTTCAACACAATAAATCAAATGTGGAACAATTATTGCGTTATATAATATAAACAGTGCTTTATCATTAAATAACTCCTTTACCTTATGTAGTACTGCAATAGATTTAGCTATTTTTGTTCTTAAGTAATTTATATGAGGTTTCCAGGTCAGGTTTTCATCAATAATAACATCCAAAAACTTTACTTCGCTAACTTTACAAATCTCCACAAAATGTTCAGAGTGAGGACTATTTATGTCTCTATTTCCAAACTTATGGAAGAGTAAGACTAAATGTGAAGGGCAAGTATAAAAGCTGTTTGTTGCTTTTTTTTATTGCAGAAACTTTGCACCCATGATGCTAAAAAAGTGTCCTTCACACAGAATGAATGATCCCACATTCTGGTTTGTTCCCTCAGGTTTCTTCCTGATGCTGAGGTTCTGCATGCTGGACTGGATCCGGAAACAGGCTAACGGCTCTGTTCTCGGTAGCACCAGCTCCGGATCAACCAGGCAACACATGCTGCAGGCGTATGAGAAGAGTTAACCGGACTGAGTAAAGATGGAGGGCAGAGGCTGCAGCCGTCTTGGTAAAAATGCAGTCTAATTTCAGAACATATCATTAAACATGACGCAAGTCACTCAGAATCCACTGTTATCAGATGTGGAGGCATGTGAGACCTTCATCTCTGTGGATTCTGCACCAGCTGGATTGATTAGAACAGTTTGAGATCATCACCTGCTGTGTTCCAGATCAGGAGKCACTGACTCTGTTTTAGTGTCTACGTTACTATGAAACATTAGTCAGTATAAGGTTATTTAAAAAAAATGTATGGTCTATMTTTTTCAACTCAAGATTTGTACATACAACTCAATTTATATTGCTTAAATCCTCTTGTGTTCGTTATCTTGAGTTCACATTAAGTAAGGAGCCTGAAACTTCATTCATCAAATGATCATTTTTGTTCAGTTCAGGCTACAATAGGTTTGGCTGAAAGCCTGAACCGAATGTGTGAATACACTCCACAGCCAAAAGGTTATGACCACCTGACAAAACATTATAGGTCCTAATTGTTTCCCCACTAAAACATCTCTGATCAGAACATCTGATTGGGTCCTGCAGTGCCTGTTGCTGATCATCTGTGGATGATGAACACCTTCAGGCTGAGGGGTTTTACTAACGTGATTTCAAACATACTGTAGGAGTATTTAGAAATGATCCAGATTGTCCAATAAGCTGTGTTCATCCTGCTCGTCATCCCAGAACAGAGACCACAGAAGAAGCAGATTTCTTAATGGGGGATGAAAAGAATAACCACTGGTCACTCAGGTTTATGAAGGTAGCTTGTTCTGTGGGTTCCTCAGCCTGCTTTGTTACTACATGAGGTGTTATGTGGTGCAGAGGATGTTTCATGATGAAAGTATCAAATGATGCAGTCAAGACTAACTACTGGTGCTCAGCGTGTAAATAGAAAACAAAATGAGGACAGTGGAAGTTTCAGTTATATCAGATAAAGTTCATGTCAAAGTCTGGTTTTTAGTGTTCTACCTTCATAAAATACTGATTTTATGT